ATCCTCATCATGACCATCACTTGGCATGTACATTTGATAGCTATATTAGGAAGTAGACACCATTGAGGGTATTATACGTACGTGTGCTAGAGATAGCCCCCATGCACCAATTGTGATGAGTGTGCATAGGTTTGTTTGACCTAAGCTTGTCCCTTGGGGAAACTTTAGTCCATAGATTGGGATTGTTTTCTCATCACCTATTGGCTGGCTTTGGTAGTCTAATGATTGTATTCTCATCACCTATTGGCTGGCTTTGGTAGTCTAATCATGAACCCTTGTGATGGACTGTGGGTCATGGGAACTACTGAGTCAGTTTTGAGAAAGTGAGTGTGGGACATAGTCACCAGTAGAGGTGGAGTGCTTCAATATTTTCCAATTTTCCTTAACAAAGTTGGATCCGATTCCCATCAAATTTATTTAGAAACAATTAAATTTGTATTAAATAATTTTTAGAATATTAAAATAAAATTTTAAAAGTCTTTGGATATTTTATTTCATCAAAACGGATTTTTAAATAGCTTAAACTGCATTTTCAGGTATTATATTATTCAGAGAGATAAAAATACTATTTGTTTTTAAAAAATCATCTTATGAGTTTTAAAATATTTTAATTACTATGGGGGCCAATAATACATGAGGCCCACCATTTGAGGCCCATCTTAATATGGGTGTGGGGCTCACAATGCCACCATAAGTGGGACACCCCTTATGACCTTCTAAATGTTGTGGCTTGTGTAATAAGCCAAACAAATTGATTAACTAGGAAGGTTTTGTAAAAAGGGGCTAATTGATTTAAAAATGGAATGAGTAGAAATTTTTGGAAAAAAAAGGAAAGAGTTGGTATAATTTCTTTGAACATAATAGTTGATGGGATTAGGTTAAGGAAGGTGAGGGATAATGTTCTAGCACCTTTTATTAGATCATGATGGTGGATCTATAGATTGTATGACTAAGATCTCTCACTGCACAAGTCACCTTGATCAATGGTCTGGATGGAGTCTCATAAGATTGCCAAACCCTAAAGAATTCCTAACCTAGCATTATTTTTATATAATCATCTTATGGGGGTCTTCAAAATACAACCCTAAGACTTGAGCTCTCTCTCTCTCCCTCCCTCAAGTTGGCACGCCACTCGCTCTCTCTCTCTCTCATAAAAAAGAAAAGAAAAAGGGGACCACGCCCCTAGGGTTTCAGAACATAGAGAAAAGGAAGGGGGGGGCATGCCCCACATAGATGAGTAGAACAGAAAAACCCATATTGTGTTCATGCTCTCTGAAATTGAGTAAATAGTTTGGCATTACTTCCCATTGTTGAGATTCAAGAAAGACATAGATCCCATGTGCCATCAGTAGAGGAGACTCAGTGTGGGGTGTACAAAGTTCTTGGGGGTAACCTAAGGCAAGGTGTACGGTAATTCTAAAGTTCTACATTTCTTGATTCTTGATTCATTTTTTTTTTTATTGAATAGAATTGCAATGGTAAGCTAGAGAAGATCCTAAGTTGTATTAGGTTTCATTTCTATAAATTAATGTTGTATTTTTGGACAGATAAATGATCTAGCAGGTATTGCAAAAGAAAGAATGAAAAATTTTAAACTATACATACTGTGCGAGATCACATCGTCCACTTTCAATTTTATTTGATCGCCGCATGCCATTGAGACTGAAGGGGAAGTTCTATAGAATGGCTGTAAGACCAGCCATGCTGTATGGGATGGAATGTGGGTAGTCAAGAAACAATATATCCATAGGATGAGTGTAGTTGAGATAAGGATGTTGAGATAGATAAGTGACAAGACAAGAAAAGAAAGAATTCAAAATGATTACATGGAGGGAACTTATGTGTGGCTTTAATAAGTGATAAGATGAGGGAAAATAGACTTAGGTGGGCTGGTCATGTGCAGTGTAGACCTAGTACAACACCAGTTAGGAGGTGCATTTTGGTTAAAGTAGAAGGATCTAGAAGGGCAAGGGGAAGACCCACAGGACATGGATAGAAGTAGTGAGAAAAAATATGACGACTTTTGGTCTTACTAAAGGTATGACCCTTGATAGAGCAGAATGGAGTAACAAGATTCATGTAGTTGACCCCAAATCTTTGGGATAAGGCTTGGATGATGATGAATTTTATGCATAGTAAATTTACTAATAATAGGAGTTCAAACAAGGAAGTAGTTAAGATTGATGGTCAAGAAATATCTAAAATAGATTGTTTATGATATCTAGTGTCCATAATCCTAGAGAATGGATTTGTTGAGGAATATGTTGTATATAAAATTAGAGCTAGATGGGCATAGTGGAGATGCGCATCCGGAGTTTTATGTAATTGCCGCATACTATTGAGATTAAAGGGGAAGCTCTATATGACGGTTGTAAGACCAGCCATGCTTTATGAAACATAATGTTGGGTGGTCAAGAAACATGATATCCATAGGATGAACTTAGCTGAGATGAGGATGTTGAGATGGATGTGAGTGGCAAGACAAGAAATGATAGAATTTGAAATATATATATATATATAGGGAACTTAGGTATTGCTTCAATAGGTGATAAGATGAGGGAAAGTAGACACAGGTGGCTAGTCATGTGCAGTAGGCTTAACACAGTACTATTTAGGAGGTGTGATTTGATTTAAGTGGAAAGCTCTAAAAGGGCAAGGGGAAGGCCGAAAAAAACATGGATAGGAGTATTGAAAAAATATATGGTCTTACTTTGGGTATGACCATTAATATAGAAGAATGGAGGAACATGACTCATGCAGCTGACCCCAAATCATTGGGATAAGGCTTGGATGATGATGATGATTTTATGCATATTGGAGCTTAGATCCCCATCCACCCCAGTGACATGGGATCTCACTCCCAAGTATATTAGGATCTCGATCCTTATCTTGTTGAATATATGGAGGTCGATCCTAACCCCAAGAAGCTTCCACCCTATGGCGGTTCGGTATCCCCTGAACCTATTCTGCTTCCAAACCTGCTCCCACCTCCAACAACTCTAGTACATCCTGCACCACAAGAGCCTTTTTCATCTCCTATCCAACCAAACATCTCACCTAACCTCTGCAGGGTTACTATGGACCTTCTTCTGCCATGTGCATCATGGGAGATAACATAACCAGCCCAGGGTGTGGGCTCACTCATCTAGCCAACGCCTAGTTACAAACTAAGGTGCGTGATGGAACCCACTATGCCCTGCTCTAGGTGCCCAAGTAGAACACACTTCCACTCAATTGGGATTACTCCCTAAACATAAAGCATGGGGACACATGCATGGGAATACACGATAGAGCTTTTAATCAAAGACCAAGTATATATGCATTTAAGGGCCACAAAACAAGGGTTTGATCTTTGAAACACCTAGTTATTCATTTTAAATGATATATTAAAGCTCATATAAATTAGCCATACCATACCGTCATCTACATTCCTCTGGTATTGTGCAATAGGGGATTTATATTTTCTATTGTAGTTTTCAAACTTCTATCCTTTGATTACTGTATTTTAAAAATGTTTATGTTGAACTGATCTTTGATATTTGTGATGATAAGGTATTGTTTCTTGTCACCAACTCTGGGGGATAAATTCTACCTGACCCTTCCACCTCGATGACCATTAGACCTAGAGCTCTTACAACTAAACAAAAAAAAAAAAAAAAAAAAAAAAGAAAAAAGAAAGAAAAGAAAAGAAAAGAAAAGAAAAGAAGAAATTAGATTGGGAACCTGAATTTAAGTGCTCCACTTGAATAGACTGATCATGCTGTTGATACTTATTTATTGTGTTATCTTATTCGATTATCAATTAAAATGGGCTTCAAGTCTTCAACAGCCTCAAACTGAAAGGAATGGGCAGCTCGCTTTTAATTTTTAACTAACATACGATTAATGCGGACTTTTTTGGGTGGATTATGATTAATGTAGACTTGGCGTTAGTTACTCTTTTCTGGCTACATAACAGGTAATGATTCAAAAGTCTCAAATACTCACATTACCTGCTTTTTCTTGAATTTTATGCATTTCCCCATGATATTCCATCCTTCTAAGGACCAAATATATTTACTCTGGTTGGTGCAAATGAAGTAACAAAAAATTGATTTCAATGCTTGATGAAGTTGTTTCTGTCAATTGAAAATACAAAATGGTGCTGTTTACTATAACAGTAAAGATTTGGTTTACTTTTAACAGTAAAGATTTGGGGGCGTTTCTTCTTTACCTGGATGACAGATGGGTGTGCATGACTCTGGTCATTACACGTCTTGTTTCAATTCGGAATTTACAAACACAACTATATCACCTGGAAAACACAACATTTTGAACAGTTAGTTTGGTAAGATGGTTACTACCCATCTTGATATCACTCTGTTAATCATTATCTAAAGTTTTGATTGGATATGTGGTGGTGGGAATATCCATAAATGATTTAAACATTTCATAAAAGCTCTTAGATTGGTAGTATTGATGAAAATCATAAAAGTTAGTAAAAGTCTAGCCATCAATCATCACAGTTCAAGTGATTTTAATACTGAATTTTTTTAATGGTCACATCTGGGATGTCAATGCAATATTCCTTGTTGAACAAGTAATACCCCATCATCATGTACTTGCTATCTTCAGATTGGAAACCTTTTTGTGTGGGATTTTATGTTGAAAGAAGTTTCCGTTTTTTAAGGAAAATGCTCTATAGTGTGTTTTACCAGTGTAGGTCTATAGGTCATTGACAATCATCATGGTTCATGAATGTCTTTTAACACTATTAAGCGAATGTTCAGTGTTCAACAAGTAATACTCATAATCATCTGCTTGCTATCTTCAGATTGGAAACCTTTTTATGTGGGATATGTTGGTAGAAGTTTCTGTTTTTGAAGGAAAACGTTCCATTGTGTGTTTGCTCTTACCGCTATAGGTCTATAGGTCATTGAAATTCATCGTGGTTCATGAATGTCTGTTCTTTCCCTATTTATCTGATCATTGATGTGCCCATTCTCTTCTTTCAATTGCAGGGATTGGAAAAGTATGTCATGACAAAACTATTTACTCGTGCATTTGCATCTATTCCAGAAGAGGTAAAGAAGGATGAAGAACTTTCAGAAAAAATGGCTTTAGTGCAACAGTTCATTCGGCCTGATAATTTGGACATTAAACCAAACTTCCAGAATGAAACATCTTGGCTGGTAAGTTAAAGGACTACTTTTTTTTTTTTATTCTTTTTTTTTTAGAACTATAACTACCATTTGTAGCTTTGTAACTCATGCTGTAGAACTCTGCTAGTTTGAATTCAACTTCAGCATTTGCATGTAAATCATTTTAGTGTGACATTAAAATACCATGTTTTTAATTCTGAAAAGCAGTACTTATTTAATTTACATCCAGGACAAAAAATTCTAAATTGCTTTTAGAAATGACTCGGTTCAAGGAATTATTCTATGTGAATGCATAAAGTTTATGTACTGTGATTATTTTCATCACTGGGAACTTGTGGGCAGCTATAGGCCTTGCATACTTTGAATCTGTGGCCTTTTGCCATGTTTACATATGGAGTAACATATAGTCAAACAAGATTTCATCAAAAGTGTCCCTATTTATGAGTTGAAACCCCTGTGAAAGGAAAACTCAACAAATTTGTTTTTAGACCCTCATCTAAGTTTGTCGTCTTTATCGTTCTTCTCCTTCTTGTCTTGATGATCTTTTTTTATCCTTCGGGGTTGATGGAAGGATATATGAGAAAGGGGAAAAAATGAAAAGGAAAACATAAAGAAAACTCAGCAAATTTGCTTTTAGAACCTCATCTAAGTTTGTTGTCTTTATCTTTCTTCTCCTTTTTGTCTTGATGATCTTTTTTTATCCTTAGGGGTTGATGGAAGGATATATGAGAAAGGGGAAAAATGGAAAGGAAAACATAAACAAAAGTATGAAGAAGAAGAAAATAATACGAAAAAAATAAAAGAATTATCAAAACAAGGATATATATAGATTTAGGAAAAGATAGGATACACAGTCTCATGTACCCTTTTCCTCTA